AAAAAAAAAAAAACCAAGAAAAAAAAAATAGACAGTTGCAGCTGGTCGGTGATGGTGCACGTCTTTAATCCCAGCACTCAGGAGGCTGAGGCAGGCAGATCTCTGTTAGTTCAAGGCCAGCCTGGACAACAGAGGGAGTCTTCTCATTTCTGAGATGGTGATAGAATTTTCCCAATGTTTAAACATGTTCACATGCCCAGTTATATAAATTTAAATATAAAATCATTTGATAGGTTTGAGGTGACCCCCCCATGTTTGTGAAAAGTAGAACTTCACTAGTTAAATCCAATCATATCATGAGAAAGGGAGAGCAGAGATAGTATTTATACAACTGGAAGTGTTATTTAAAAAGATCATATCCACTTTACTACAAGTCAGTTTTACTTAAATCAGGACTGCCCAACAAAAACATTGTTAGCCATTCATGATCTGAATTTTGGTGTATGAATTAAACTGCAGTATACATTAAAAGCCATGAGACATTTGTTTTGTCATAAATAAGGCAGTGGAATTGCTCATTAGCAGTCTTTTTAAGATCAGCTATTAGGTCTGCCCTTTCTCCCCTCTTCTGAATTCCAGCAAAGATTGTTTTTACTCCAAGAATGTATTTCCTAGGATTCTCTGAAGACTCCACCAGGCATCTGTTGTGGAATATTATTTTAAAGGTGTTGCATTTTTTCCTACTGGTTTTGTTAACAATTCAAAGATGTGTTTGATTAAATAAAATTAACCTTTGAGCAGGAGGCTGAGTCAGCAAGCAGCTGACAGGAAGTGGTAAGGAGGAACCGCGTGGGTTTTTTAAAGTGGGGGCTGAGAGAAGGATGCTGGGTTTTTGGAAGATGCCAGCAAATGGAGAAGGTGAGCTACTTGCTATTCTTTTCAGCCTCTCTGAGCGAGCAGAATTCCGCCTCAAACCTTGAATCGTGAGTTCTTTAGTTTTAGATAAAGTTTCCCTTAGTAGCTATGAAAGAGTTGGTGCCTGAGGGAACAGAATCCCCTCAGGCTGCAGCCCTGGACCCAAACCACGGCTGATAGAGGAGTTGCAACCGCTGATTAGGGCAGCCGCTGTAGATAATAAAAAAGATAATAAAAAAGACGATGCCTTTGCTCTTGTTGGTGTCTGGGTAAGAGAATCCAGTGGCCTGACCTGTCTTCCTCCCAAACAGACCATGGGGATTCGGTCCAGTCTTATGCTTGCCTTCCTGTTCCACAGTGTGGCACTGGGCACACTGCTGAACACAAATCTTGTTGCCTTTCTCAACATCACCCATTTTTAATTTGCTCCCAGGTGGTCAACACCACAACTGCTGTGACCCAGTGATGAATGTCCTGCTCGCTCCTTCATAGTCTTAGGTGTAGAATCCTATCTGAAAATGAGGATACTTGAACTTCTCCCTTCCCTACTGTATCCCTTGGGCTTCTCTCTTGTCTCACTGCTCCAGCTGAGACTGTAAGCCTATACTGAACAAGAATGGACACCCTGTCTTAGTTCTGATTTTAGTGATTGAAATGCTTAGAGTATTTCTCTATTTAGTATAATGTTGGCTATAGGTTTGTCATGTATAGCCTTTAGAATATTCTGATATGCTCCCTTCATTACTAGTTTCTTTAAGACTTTTATCATGTATGGATGTTGGATTTTGTCAAAAGCCTCCTTTTGTTTATAGAGAGGGTCATGTGATTTCTGTCCTTGAGTCCATTTCTGTGAAGTGTTATTTATTTATTTGTGGCTTTTAACCATGTATATTCCTGGAATTAAACCAATCTGGCCATGGTAAATGTTCTTTTTTATATTATCCTGAATTTGGTTTACAAGTGTTTTATTGAAAAAATTTGCACCTATTTTCCTTAAGGAGCTTGGCATGTATTTCAGTGAGCTGTTAAACATTTGGTTGTATGGCTACCACCACAATCATGACACATCATCTCGTGACCTTTGTCAGTCACTCACATCAGCTACCAACGTAATTTCTGTCCCTATAGCTTGTCTTTTCCAGAATTTTGTGTGAATGGCGCTAAAAATGTTGCCTTTCATAATCTAGCCCCTTTTGTCAGCAAAATGTTCTTGAGATTTGTCCATCGCATTGCACAGTAAATAGTTCATTTCTTTCTAATTGTTAAATTCCCAGAAATAAACCTAATGCCATAGAAATGGAACATTTTGATAAACAGCAGCAGGAAGGACCGTTCCCTCCTTGAGTTAGGACACTCAATTGCAATTAAAGAGTACATGTTGTGGAGTATTGTTTAACTAGGCTAAGATGTGTTATATTTGTTTATGCTGCATTTGTTTACTGATGTAAGGATGTGTGTTTAATTATGTGAAAATGTGTTGCTTTTGTTTCACCTTGCCTGCCTAAGGCACATGATTGGTCAAATAAAAAGTTGGTCAATAGCTAGGCAGAAGAGTGAGAGACGAGGCTGGCAGGCAGAGAGAATAAATAGGAGGAGGAATCCAGGCTTGAAGAAAAAAAAAAAGAGAGAAGAGAGGAGAGAATGAGGGAGATGCCAGGGGCCAAAAGCCCAGCCAGCCAGACATGAGAAGCAGTGAAAGTATGATATTCAGAAGGAAATAAAGGAAAAAGCCCTGAGGCAAAAGGTAGAGAGAAACAGGTTAATTTAAGTTAAAAGAGCTGGCCAGAAACAAGCCTAAGCTAGGCCAAGCATTCATAACAAATAATAGGTCTTTGTATCATAATTTGGGAGCTGGTTGATGGCCCAAAAGAGAAAGTAGAAGTATATTTCTTTTCTCAGCAGTGAGATCCTAAGACTCAGTCTACTGTCAACTAAAAGTCCCACGTAATTGTCACATAGATTGCTGCTTGGTAGTTGCCCGAGCCCAGCTGATGTTTGGAATTCAAGCACAGTATGAAGTCCATTATTTTAGGGTATTTGCTTCAGCACATTAATGATTATGGCCATTATCTAATTCTAGAACATTCTAATTACCCCCCAAAAGAACTCTATGTCTATTCAGCAGTTTGCCTCTCCTTTTCTCCATCTTTTGGCAGTTACTAATTTTCTTTATCTCTGATTTTGCTTATTCTGGATTTTGCATTTCAATATAAACATTCAGTATGTAGCCTATTTGTCTACTTTCTTTTGCTTAGCACGTATTTTCAAGGTTCATACATGTGACAGTATTTCTCCATTTGTTAGGGCTAAATAATGTTCTAGTATAAGCATATTCCATTTTCTGTTGCTTGAGTACTTTAGGTCTTTTCCGTATTTTACACATTGTGAATAGTGTGGTCATGAGCATCTACTGTAAGTTTTTATAAAATATATGTTTCCAACTATATCAGGCACACACACACACACACACACACACACACACACACACACACACACGGGAGTAGAACTGTTGAGTCATAAAACAACTCTTTAATTTTCTGAGGGACTGCTAAAAATTTCCCACAGATCTACTTACCATAAACCCTTGGTACATCTTGTTGTTCATCGAGTTCCATTCACCTGATCAGCCAGCCCACTTACAAGGTGGGGCGGGCGGTTCCTAACTCTTCCCAGGAAGTGGGAGGTGTGAGGTATAGCTAAGCTGATCCATAGCTGAAGGGGGGGTTCTAACTCTTTCCAGGAAGTGGGAGGTATGAGGTATAGCTAAGCTGATCCATAACTGTGGAGTTTGAAGCAAAAGACAAAAACAGAAATGGGGTTCAGGGAGGAGTTGGTTTAAACAGACAAAGCAATAGATAACTGAAGATCTCTGGCTAGGAGTCCCACACCTAGACAAAGGGGCTCGCTCTGGGGTCAAGAAAGAGAGCCAAAGGCACGAGAAAGGGAAACCAGGAGATGTGATCCAGTAGACACCTTAGACACTGGAGTGGACAGCCAAGACTCGACCCGAGGCTGTGGCTTCTTCTACAGGTCTGAAAGGACAGAGTGCAGCAACTGGTTGGCATGTTATCTTCCAGATCTTTGTTAATATGGGGGTGGAGTTTCCACCATTTGCCCAAGGCCATAGTTCTCAGTCTTCGGCTTGAGTCAATTCCCGGAAAGGCTTGCCCAAACACAAATCCTGGGCCCCACATATTGAGTTAATGATCAGTAAGGTCTACATTGGTGGCCTTGCAATAAGGGGGTTTCTGTCACCCTTTAAGCCTTGCCCCTCTCAGTGAACTTAATTCTGAAGTTTGTCACTGCCCAAGTCTTTATCTTAATGACCAGCAGATGCTCCTTCTTCTTACAGGGAGAAGACCAGAAGATAAGATCTCAGTGACGGTGTTCTGAGTGGAAGTGGGAGGAAGGTGAATGAAGTAAAAACCTTCTGAATTGATGCTTGCACTTCCTAGCAAGTGTGAGGACTTCCTGGAAGCCTTTCTTGCAGCCGTCATTTTCCTTGAGAACTGATGAGCTGCCGTGCAGCTTGAGAGTGGGAGAGGAGAATAGGCGCCATAGCTCACATGTACGAAAAGGTGCAGCGCGGTGAGGCCGGCCAAGTCCACAGTGGAAAGATAAACAACAATTGCTGCACTGTTGGTAGAAGTGAAGCAACCTCAGCACCTTTCAGTTACTTTGCAGTCATGTTAGCACATGAGCTGGAAGACAGGTATGGGGACCTGGCAGTGGCTCAGTGACGCGGACGCACAGGACTTTAGAATTTGCCTCCCTTGAACATCTGGACACAAACCACACATGGGGTGACAGGGTGATAGTATGGACCCTGGCCCACTTTCTGACCGTCTGGAACAAAGCCACCCTCTTTGTCTAGACTGCTTGCTCCTGACTGTTGACAGAGACCAATTCAATTCTTACTTTTAAATCTCTTAATCATAGCAACTTTGTCTGTCCTTAACAAGCATGGGTATGTTAAGAATATAAATATTTGAAGATAGAAGACATGTAATCATGAAAATAAAGGCAGTGCATGGTGAGCAATGAGCAGGGGACGGAAAATCACCCCAGACAGGATGTTAGCAAATGCTTCTAGATCAGTCAGATTGCCAAAAAATAATCTTTTTTCATGTGCATGTGTGAGTGAGTGTGTGTGTATGTGTATGTGTTCCTGTGAGTGTGTGTCTGTGTGTGTCTGTATGTGTCTCTGTGTGTTTATGTATGTGTGCCTGTGTGCATGTCTCTGTGTATGTGTGTCTTTGTGTGTCTGTGTGTCTCTGTATGTGTGTGTCTCTGTGTATATGTATGCATATGTGTCTCTGTGTGTGTCTCTCTCTGTGTCTCTGTGCATGTGTCTGTGTGTGTGTGTCTCTGTGTGTGTCGGTATCTGTGTGCATGTCTGTGTATGTATGTGTGTGTGTGTGCCCATGTGTGTGTCTCTCTGTGTGTGTCTGTGTGTATGTAGGCTTATTTTAAGAAACTGGCTCACGCAGTGTGGAGGCTGGCAAGTCTGAAGTTGGGCAAGAAGCTGGAAACTCAGGCAGGAGTTAATGCTGCAGGCCTGTGGCAAAATTTCACCAACAACTTCAGTTTGGGCTCGGAATTTAATGAGGTTTCCTGCATTACCAAGGATAAATTTAAAGTTTTAATATGTTAGACACAATCACAAAATAACTACAGTAACACCTGGGTTGGTGGTTGATTAGAAAGCCCAGTACCACAGCCTAGCTTAGCTGCTCTGTAGAGCTGACGATCGCAGCTCCTCCTAGGAAGTGGCATTTCGTTCAGCTTCAAGAGTGGAGAAGGCTGCAGCAGGCGCGAGGCTTCTGTCAGGCTGACTTTCACACACTTATTATTAGGCCGTGTGTTCTTGAAGCTCCGACTTTCCTCACGGATACCAACCACTAATCTAAGCTGTGGCTCCACGTGGAGGAAAAAAGGTCATTTAAACCTACAGGACGGCTCAGTCGGCGGAATAAAGGCTGCAATTGGGGAGCTGTTTGCTCAGGCTGTGAAATACTGAATGGTGCCCCAACCAGTCCCACGTGGACACGAGCGTGGTTTTCACAGTCCCTTCTGTCACGTTCTGGAAAGAACAGAATACTGACCCAGTAGAAGATTCTCCCTCTCTCTTTCTCTCTCTTTCCCTCTCTTTCTCTCCCTCTCTCTTTCCCTCCCTCTCTTCCCCCTCTTCCCTCTCCCTCTCTCCCTTCCCCGCCCTCTTGTGCGTGCACACACACACACACACACACACACACACACACACACACACACACACACTATTCCAGTTCTGTCTAGAGCTTTGTACATAGATAACATTCAGTAACTTGGATGGCACAATCTCTGGATGCGTATTAGTCACAAGGCTTACACAATTCACAGCTGTGTGTGAAGTTAATGGACGAGAAGCAGTACGAGCCTCTGTGAAGCAGATCTCAGTGGAGCAAAGGTATGCTCTTATCTGACAAGAGAAGGGAGGAGTGAATCTGCCTGAGACGGGTGCTGTCTCGGTGTCTGTACATCGGCAACTACATGGAAAGACCTAGCAGATGGCTCTCCTGTCTGCCTCAGAGTCTCCACCATCTGCTAAATCTATCAGCACTGGAGACACTTTTCCTTCCTGTAAGCCTGCTAATTTAAAAAAATATTTTAGACTTTCTGAGGAAAAAAGTTTTGGTAAAAGAGAGATGACAGGAACCTGAGGATAGGATTTGCAATATAGTTGTCTCTAAAGATAGTCTCTGCCGTGTTTACTACAAGCTCAACTGTTACTAGTACCTCACTACAAATTTCAGGTCCACTGCATTGTGGGATGTCTTAGTCCCATTTTTTTTCTATGCTAAAATGTAGCATTTACAATGGATCTGGTCTCTGAAGGA